TTCTTTTATTTTTAAACATTTAGAGTGGCACTTCAATTGTGAATCTTTCTTACTCTGTAATTAATGATAACCGAAAAAAGATTCTAGCATATTTTCCCATATTCTTTTACTGAATAACTATTAGGAAAAATAAAACATTTGCAACAATATGAAAACAATATGAAGAATTATTAAATTCTTAAAAAATTATAAACTGCAAGAATTTGGATTTCTACAAAATCATTTTATTCATAGAGTGTTTTTGTATTTTCCTGAAGAATTAAAAATAATAATAATAATAATAATAATAAATAAAAAAAATCAGTATAATTTAAAATTGTATAAGAATTTAAGTTTTTACCCACATATTTATTCGGATATATGTAGGTATAAATTGATGTATAAAAAAATTAGGTATACTTAAATAATTTCAGGTACCTCTCATGTGTACTAGTTACTCAGTGAATGTAACATTGAGCTAATGAGGTGTTGGAGTTGAATGGCAGTTTAACAAGCCATTCACACGGAAATATTTATAATGCAACTATGCATGTTACCTCACTGAAAGGTTCTGCCTAATCTCACTTAAATGCTGATTAGATTTTAAATATAAGAATGATGAACTGAGTGCCTGGAAGTTTAGCAGAATGTTCATTGAGACATTTCTGTGTCACATGTGTGTGACGGGGAGTTGCTTAGTTAAAGAATACAGAGGATCTGGGTATGTTACCCCCATGAAGGAAGATTCCATGAATATTTTCACAGTTTTTGACAGTATGTGTTGTTATTATTATTTGTTGACAGTATGTATTTGCTGACAGTATGTTCCACACATAATATTGAAATAACTGACTGGCAGCCAGTAGCTAACTATATGAACTATTAATTTGCTGTAAATGAATGAGCTGATTATATGCGATTTTTATGGGGTTTTTTCCATGCGTAATACAAATATGATCCATTTTTCTGTTGCAAATCCGCTCTGAAGACATTCTTCTACTTTAGCAGACAATCTTTGTATGCTTTGCTGTAATCAAATAACCCAGTCCAATTCATCTATTTCAAAAGAGCGCAAAAGTAAGGTTTATATAACTAGGCCATGCTCTGACAGTCATTTACTGTTCAGGTAAGATATTCGTTATCTCATGTGAGGTGTTATTACTCCAAATTATTTAGATTTGTTGAATTAATACATAGTTTTAGAAATAAATTACGGAAGTGGTATGAAAAGCATGGCTTATTGAAAACTTATTACAAATAACTGTTAATGCCCTTCAATATACTCTATTTGCCTATCTTTACGCCACTGCATACATTTTTTACATTGTTCAAAGCAATGCTGCTGGTCTTCAAGTGTCAGCCTTTTCATCAAGTCTGCCATATTTCCTTGACCTCTTCTACAGACTAAAAATACACCTTTTAATGCACTTTTCACTTTTGGAAACTGGAAGAAGTTGCATGGAGTGAGGTTGAATGAATACAGTGGAAGTTTGAGGACAATAATTCTCTCGTTTGCTGAGAACTGTTTGACAGAGAGTGCATTGTGTGCCGGCACATTCTCCTGGTGCAGCATCCATGAGTTTTTGTTCTACATATTAGGTCTTTTCTTCCTCATCTTTTCTCTGATCTGAATCAGAACTTCTGTGTAGTAATTCCAATTTACAATTTGGCCCTGAGGTACCCATTCAATCATGATCAGAAACTTAATGTATGAAGAAAAAAGGATGAGCATGACTTTCATTCAAGATTTTTGCTCCTTGATGAAATATTCCAATGCATGGTTTGGCACATTGTTTCAGGGTCATAAAAAAAATCCACATTTCATCACATGTACCATTTTTGTGAAAACTTTTTGGAAATCCTTATGCAAAATTTTTCTTATTGTCTCTCTGTCAGTGTTCATCATTGACATTGGTCTTTTTGCACACTTTCTTAATTTTATCAATGTTTTCATCAATTCTTGATATCACAGGTCGACCAGAATTTCATCACCTTCATTCTCATCCCGACTTTCCAAAAGTTGTTCATGCCATTCAAAAACTCAAATGCATGACATGCATAAATTTTGTTATTGCCAGACACTTCCTTCAGCTGAAAACATTCTATTGGAGTCCCCCTCCCCAACTTCACGAAGAATTTGAGATTAATGCACTGCTAAACTTTTAAGCTTATCATTATTCTGCTACTCCAACCGGACAGCATCCAACTGAAGCAAGAATTAACAAACAACTAAACAAGCCAGAGAGATGCAATAGCAAATTTATAGTTTTTCTGGAAGCATCAAGGTCAACTATATTCCATCTACCATTGTTCCTTCTCACCAAGCTTAATGGCTAGTGCATGTACAGTCCCATTAGTTAATTGTCACACCTTGTATTAGTTGAATACCTATATACATATATTGGTTGATATAATTTAATACCTATATTGTTTGATATCTTATAATAAAATCATGGACTGCATAAATTGGCATGTGTTTTGAAACAGTGTTTCTTATCTTTGATTATCACCTCTTCCAAGTGCAAAAGTCCTGTTACCTGTATTTATAAATACAAAGCAGGGTTTCTCTAAGTAATATGTCATGTTATTATCATTCATTTGCAATCATGTCTATAGTTGAGAAAGGAGTCAGAAATATAGTTGTATTTAGTATTTTAGCTGATTTCCTCAAAATGCATTTAGTCTTTGTATGTTCATTTTTCATGAATGAAAAAGTGTGTGTTTTCTTTTTCATTCTTAGATCTAATGTGTGCATTGCTATAATTACTGTTTTTCTTCCCATGCAAAGCAAAGTATCTGCATGCTGTAAAAATAGAAGTAATGAAATTAAGAGCCCAGAAACTAATTATTATTGCACTAATTATTTCAGCTTTATATAAATGCTTAACACTTTCACTGACGGTCATGTGAAGTTGCATTGATAGATAGTTAATGCTGCATCATAGAAATAGATTGTACTCATATACCAACTTACTTATTATAAAGAATATGATTTAAAAGGGTAATAAAAGATTATTATGTGCACCACATTGATTACTAAGCCTTTAAAATTAGAATTTTATTGCTAGGTGCCATTGCATTATCAGCAGTAGAGGTAAAACTACTTCTGCAATGCCACATGCAGTACTGCATGGCATTTAAAAGTGAATCAAAATAAGTAACAATATGCATTATGGTATGATACTATTAAAACAAATATATATATATATTGCAAATGAATTTATTACAAGATAATTACAATGATATCATTGCAAACTTTATATTTCAGAATGTTATTCTTGCATGATCTTTGCACAAAGTGAAATTTTGTTTCCATTCGAAACCACATACATTTTAAAAATTTGGTTTCTAACCTTCACTTCATGCCAATACCAGCATATATGTTCAAAGTATGATATCAATTGAACTTGAAAATAAATAATGAGACTTCATTTTGAATGAATCAAAGCTTAAAATTGTAGTTGTTGTTGTCATCTTGTCCATGAATTTCGTGGAAAAATGTTTGCCAGACCCATGAAGGAATTTGGACTTCTATTTCCACCCTAATTTTGAGGCAGAGCACGTCGGGAAGGTGGCCCGAAGATCTCCCACCACTCTCTCCTACCACCATTCCAGACGAGAGGACTTTCAGCTTGCCATATATTTACAGTGCCCCCATGTTGCAAAGACACTATACATTAAAAAACATCTATGCCTTTTGCAGGATTCGAACCTGGGCCCTTCGGTACCGCAGTAGGCTCCCAACTGGGCAGCTAAAATGGTTAGTTCAAAATGTAAGTGAATGGTAGAATACACTGCCATGTGGGGGCATTTTGTTCAAAAGTGGATAAATTTGTTTTTGAATGTGGTAAATACAACAAAAACTGTTTATTTTTATTGTATAATTTCAAAATTTTACCAGTATCTTCATATATTTCCCCTCTCACAAAAATATTGCTAAAGTTTTCTCTATAACTTATTTAAGTGTAGATTTATATTATTCCTTATGATAAGAAATAATATTCCAACAAAATCTCAAGAAAAATTTATTGATCTTAATTAGTTCTGGAATTTTTACAGGTTAGTTGCACTTTTATTATCTGTGTAATAATTCTTATAATTTCTCCAAAAAATATATTTAATTTCAATTACCATTATTATTAAATTTTATTGTACAGTGGCTGACAAAAAAGCAAAAATTAGAACAAGCCTCACTTTCCCTAATAAGTCACTTAAGTTTAAAAGCTTCTGAAACATTAATATAATTTTAAAATGAATAACTTTTATGCATCCCTTAAGGTAATATATTATGCCCTATATTGCAGACAAGGGATATTCAGCTGCATAGGGAATTGCTTCTTAAAATATTTCAAGAAATGATTAGAATGATATTTGAATCAAAAGTTTGATATAACTACTATATGAAAAGTTGTCAGAAGGCATTTAGCATATTTTTGAGCCAATTTTATTCATACTCTACTTTTGTGCTGTGACCATTGGCTGTCATCTTTTGTAATATAATGTTGAACTCTGAGGTCATTTCACATTTTATTTGTAAATGTTTATTTATATATTTTCAGTATTCATATAATGTTAATTCTTATCTGTGAACAGCAAACTAGAATTATTGTGTCGTTATTTACGAAATGAAAAAGAGGGTTATAAAATATTATGTGTAAATTTGCAGTTTTTTTTTTTTTTTTTTTTTTTTTTTTTTTTTTTTTTTTTTTTAGATTAATGATGTGATAATTGTTGTATATTGGACAATTAAATCACATTACCAATATAACACTTTGATGCATTTCTGAACTTCTGTCTTGTGTTTCCTTGTTTGCCAAATGTTTTGTAATAGCATTTTTCTTTGGTAAATAAAACAAATATTTTTAAATCAAATATGTATTGTCTTAATTTGTACTGTGTGCATGGCTCTAAACTGGTTTGCTGAGAACATTAACTGTTTAGTTATGGTTAGTCTCTCCTCCATATAACAAAAAATTATTTGCTTGGTACCCTTATGTGTCACCTACACTTGACCCCCTTAGACCAATGGAAAACTCAAACGAAGCAGCAGCTTCAGCAAATTGAGGGCCTCGATACGACACAGTAGTGCCAAGCTTCTTCATAAACTCAAAGGGGATCAGTCAGCTAATGGCAACATGGAAAGTCTTGCAGCAAGGTATGCTTTTGTAGTTTTTTTACAGAAAAGGATGTGTTGTGCCATTGCATGGATTAACAAGAATCTGTCTTTTAATTTGTATTTCTTTTATTTTTCTCCATAATTTGCCCTCTGTGTCGCTTGCATTCTTAATACACTGCTAGCCAGCATTCTGTTGTACTTTTCTAGGCATTGTTTTGCAGCAGTTTTTATTTTTATAATTTGATTTTACTTCACTTAAGTTTAGATGGGGAGGAAGGAAAAATTTATGTAATAATCTGCTAAAAATAAGTAAATTAATTAAAAAAGAAATAAGTATGTAAATTATGAAAAACAAGAAAAAGTGTACATATATATTTGTACTTCATAAAGTATATCATGATATACATATCTGACACTTTGGCTAAGTAATTTTTAAGTTTTTTTTTTTTTTTTAGTTTATTAAAAAAATTGAATAGTTTTTTTTATATTTGTCTATAGTTTTTTAGACAAAATATAAACTCCTTTTTTTAAAACATTATGTTTAAAACATATGACAAGCATATTGGAAGAGTTTTATTATTGCTTGATAGATTAGTATTTCATTTATTTATGGCTATTCAAGCTAAGCATTAGGCCTACCAGCAGCTGAGCAGTAAAGTTGCTGAACGCTGGTAGTTCAACTTGGGTTTGATTTCAGTCAAACAGGCTGCCTGCATAGGTGTTTTTATGGTTTCTCCGTGTGTGACATAAATAGGAGCCAGTTCCCCTTAAAAAAATCATTATACCCTTTAGGCAGATTGCCCTCACATGATTTGCTGTAATCAATCGAACTGAACCGAACCGAGCTAAGTATTTAATTTTGCGTACATTCTTGCTTCGCATCTAATTTAAATTGAAGAAGACTTTTGTTTTGTCAGTAATTTAAATTGAATATTAAATCAGAAGATTGATCTTGCTACTGATTTAAGTTGCTGAAGCTAATTGTTTACTTAGAGCCCACCACTGGCTGAACAAGTAAGATCACTTAATAGCAGTAGTTTCCCCACTCTCTTGAATGAGCTAATTGTATGAGATTTTTAAACTCCTCCCATCCATTCCCCAAATGTGTAATATAAATACGAGCCAGTTTCTTATAGAAAGTTCTCCATGTAAACATTCTTTTTTTAGAAAGATAGCTGTAGCATGCTTTCTTATAGTCATTTAACCCAGAAGGATGCGCGCTGTATTATGTAACACGAGAACGCGCATGAGGTGTGAACACATCCGAAGCAATTAAATGATGTACAAATTAAACATATTATTACAGTTCAGTGAATTGATTGCAACATGTATTATATAAAATAGCTTAAAATAATGCTAATTTTAAAATTAATAACAAATAGGTAATTTTTTTTCAGATGTCTAGGAATTATTGATTTCTATGAGAAATGTTTGTTTTTTTATTTGTGAATGCAATTATAATTCAAATTATGCAGAATTATTACATGAACAACGAGTTATATAATTAATATTGAAATCAATTAGGCCCAAGAAGCATTAGATATTTTGTAATATATACATGGAGCATCTATTTCACAGTGCTCTTGACATATGTTTTTTACACTTCATACATATAGTTTTTGATTTTCTGTCTTTTTCCCTTGAGCACATGTAACATCTGTATTATATATATATATATATATATATATTCTGATTTTGTGGTTCATCAAATCATTTTCTGTAAGAAACTGGCCAATTCATAATTGGTATACCAATTGTCTGTGGTAAAGTTTCTTCCAGATTTGTAATGGAGCTAGGATGGATGCGCTTTGCTATTTCATTAGAACTGCTGACTTTCTTGTATGGCCCATCTGGCTGCTGACATGTGTAAATTTCCATGTTGAAAGCATAGAATCAACCAAAGCAAATATCTTTATACCATATCTTGCAGGTGTCTTAGGTATATACTGCTGAAAGGAGCATCATCCTCGAAAAAGCTCTAGCTTTTCGTTCAAAGGTCACTTATTCCCCTAAATGATATAATTTCTGTCAATTCTTGACAAAATTTTTAAATAAATCTCTTATTGGAGCTCGTTTTTATCCTTTCCTATAAAATAGTTTGATAACAAGGAATTTCTTCTGAAGAGTCACACTCATCTTCTGATTCAGACTCATGATCACTAAATATATCTTCATTATCTGAATCTTCTAATTTTTCTTCTATAGAATCTTCATCCGATGAAACCCTCCCTCTAATAATTTCTGAAGTCTTTTCATTTCTTGATCATGCTGAGGAAAAGACCGAACAGAGCGACTTCCACACACCATGGCTCACACTGAAAAATGGGAACACGTAAGCGCACATGGTGTATCGGCACACCCCAAACTATTATTTAAACAGCAATAAAGGCTCGAAATTTGCTGTTTCCTCTCGAGACATATAGAACATGATCTTGAAGGCAGCTACTGATGGACCTAAGCATTTCGGATTATAGGAGGAAATTGCCAGCGAATTTTTTGGAGCGTCGGGTGCCGGTTAATTACTTAATTTATTAAAACTGTAAAAATATTAGGAAGAATTTTAAAAAATGAGTGGAAGAAGTGTAATTTAACTTCCTTAATTTAACAAAAAATATCATTTTATCATTCTTTTAAATTAGCAAGCATTTTTATTTTTCACTAACTTTTTAATTCAACAAAATTTTAAGAACATGCAAAAAATGAATTAGAAAGGTAATTTATGCTGGATTCAGTATAAAAAGTTGTTTTCATTTTGAGAGGAAAATCAAACTATTTATATGATCATTTAAGAAAGGGTTAAAACAAAAAAATAAATTTGAAAACTAGAGAAAATGTTGAAAGAAAGTAATAATTTTCCTTTTTTCTTCAGAATCTTCAGTAAATATTATTACTTCTACAAACTTAGTTTCTGAGCATTTCATATGTGCTACTAATACTGAAGAAAGAGGCTCATTGTTCACATTTAATTATTCATATTTTTACTCTAATAAATATCTTTTGAATTTTGGTAAATATATTTTTATTTGATGTAATATTAATGAATATTAAGAATTATGTTCTGATTGTTAAATATATGAAATTCTGTCTGCCGTCATTGGTATATCTTTGTTGGGTAATGATATAGCTTTCACTGCATCTTTGTTGAGCTGTGCAGCTCAAAAGATTGGATTTTTGTGACATAAGGAGATTATTATATATTAAAAAATAAAGAATGATGGTTTTTAAAAAATGTGATGCAATAAGTGAAAAAAGACAAGTATAGTGTAGAAATTTGGGGGGGGGGGTAGAAATCTTTTTAACTATCTTCAACATAGCAGCTGATAAAAATGTTGTATTAAAACATTCACATCAGGTTCTTTCTAAAATTAGTAGTACTGCAATGACATATGTGCACATAAATTTAATGCACAATTTTTGGCTTTGGGTTTACTTGCTGAATTGCACTTGCACTTTTAAAATATTGATAATATGTAGAATGCTTATGTCTTTAGTGATTTATGTGTATAAGTTCTTTTCCTAAGTAATGCAGAGTATATGAACTTAATCTTTTTCTGCTTACTGCATGTTTTATTTCTGAATTATATAAGTACACATTTGAAAGTTTTTTATATAATTTTTTTAAATATAGTGTTTAAGGTATTTTATTTATTTCTGCTATATAAAAATTACAGTAAATTCAGCAGTCTTTAATTTTCAAAATGATTTCATATTTCAAAGTTCACTTTAATCATTAAAAATATCAGATTTTTTAAAAATATATATGTGTGTAATTATAAACTTAATATTATTATGTAATTTATTTTTCTTTCTTTAAATTAAGAGTTGTAGAATCCATATTATTGTTATGTATTTATATTGATGATTTTAAGTTGTAATTATCTAACGATACTGCTTTTGTTGCTTAAATTTTTCATTAATTAAGTTTCATTAATTAGTTTCAAGGTGTATTTTTGATTTTCAGTATACTGTGTTTTGTATTTTAAGTATTTTCAACTTTTTTAGCAATATTGGTGACACTATATGGTACTGAAATAATTTATTGAAGTAAATATGCAGTCTTTTCATGACTGTAAAAAAGCATTCAACGGTGCAAAGTGTTTATTTCTGCAGAAAGAAAAATAAAACACTAAGTATTAGTTTGAATCATGGTTACATTTAAATTAGCTAAGAGAAATTGTGCATTTTTCTGAGGAAGAATTTTGCAGTATAAACAGTAACTTTCTGTCTGGTTTTATTTAGTGGCTGTGAACCATAATGAAATTTAGTAAGTAATTTAAATATGTTATTTTTTCCTCCAGTGGTGGGCACTAGCCGTTACACCTGTTGACCACAACTAAGGCCAGAAGCAGTGGTCACTTTATTATGGAAGCACCTTACGGGTGGGTCACCGTTGCTTTCTCTGAACTGTTCATCTATGGTCACTGTTGCCTTCTATGAAGAAACAGACAATTTATGTACATGCTTTCTCGGGTTCAAACCCGCACTCTTTGATACGGCAGTCAGCATCACTATACCATCTGGGCAATCAGATATTCTTTTGTTTGTAGTTAGCAGCTTAGGATTATCTCATTTTATTAAATATACTGTTGAGTTCTTTCTTAACTAATATTAACTAGTGTTTCATTTTTCCAAGTAGGAATATAAATGCATGTATTTTCATGCACAGTATGAATAGTTTCTTGTACTCGGTGATATTAAAATTTTCCATTTTTATAATACAGACGAGTTCTTTTTTTTTTTTTTTTTAATTATAAAACTGTTAATTTATTTTATTGTTCACAAAAACGAAAGTTTATAAATGAGGTGCATTAGTTTATTTTATTTAAATTTAAAAGTTTTATTGTAATAAAATAATTGAGAATTGAAAAATTTTAAAATGTATCTAATTTAAAATTTTTCAAGCAGAAACGAAATAAGGATTGTTTAATTGGACATTGGGCTAAGGAGCTAAGAAAAATAGTTTTATCTTCTTTGCATCCTGTATTTTCATTGTTTTATCAAACAGCAGAATTAATCTGTTGAAGAAAATATATTTTTTTATTTGTTTATTTATTTTAGATAAAAGCCCAATATGCATATAGATGGATATGTATGCATATGTGTGTGTAGTTGCATTATTTTAAAGATGAAATTAAAAATTACTTTTAAAAATGTGTAGAATTTTTATCATGTTTCCAGAATAATATAAAAATGTCTCATGAGTAACATTATGTAAAATTATAATATGGATTGCATTTGAAATTAAGAATTCATGAGTAATCATGATGTTGTAAAACATTTATAGCTCTTTTTCACATTGGTTCTTGGCAGCATGACAGAATGTTTGCCTTACTGTTTTTGAATTAATCAACTATATTCAGTGTAAATATCAGCCAGCTTCCAATATTTTATGAAGGTCTTCTTCTCTAGGCAGAGTCCATAAGTTTTTTTTTTTTTTTTTTTTGACTGTAATTGAATTTATCATCATTAAGAATAACTCATTACAAGATAACCTGTTTCGTAGTTAAACTAAGTGATATAGAAAGATTCAAGTAAATGCACATCAATGAGTCACTCTTTTATTTCTCGCTTTCGTTTTTTCATGCTGTCCAGTTTTCATACAATTGTTGAACTTTATATTGTAATTATTTTAAATTTTAATTTGAAAACACTTTTTTATTTGCCATCTTTAATGTGCTCTTCAAAGCATTAAAATGCATGCTTTTATGGCATTTAATTTTACTATGTGTTTATATTTAGCTAGCATTTGTTATTTACTTCATAATGTTTTCTTTGTGCACAACACATGCTTTTCTGTTTTCTTTTTAGGAGAACTAATTAGCTTTTATTACTCATTCGGCTAGAAAAAGACTTGTTTATTACACGCATTATAGAATTATAATCACAAAATGATCTCGAGTTCACTGTGTACTTCCTTATCTATGCTTTTTCTTTTCAGTTAATTTGACTTTGGTTTTCTTTAATTATATATATTTTAGATAGTTCATTTTATAAAAGTATTTTAAGAATTGCATTTTTTAATTCTAGTTCATGTGCATGGAATATCTTCTTTTATTTCTAAAATACTGACAGTAATTTCATTTGTTTATTTTTACTTTCATAGAATGAAACGAGCCAGCTCAATGTCAATGCTTAATTCAGATGAACAGGTAGTCTACAACTTCTACTTATTTTGAATTTGTTATGCATGCAAAATAATTTTCAGTCCCTTCCCTAAAAATTCTGCTTTATAAATTATTTTTATTGTTTTAAATGCTTTTGCAGTGTACCTATATCTATTCATATGTGCTTAGATGTGTAATTAATTTACATTTGTATACAGTAAACAGTTTCAAATTTAATAGATTATTTTAAAGATTGATAAAATATTTCAGTTAAAAAGAAATACTTTATAAAAAAAAAAAACTGAAAATTCTTAAGAATTGGTTAAATTATACATTTGTGAAATGTGGAGAATATGTTATATAATTTTTCAAATGTGTAGAGGCTCCCCCTCCTCCTTCAAATTTTAAAGTTTATTATAAGCATAGCCCATATTTGTAAATGTTTCATTAACTGATTAGGTCCATCGTTGTGCTTTTTGGACATGCTTTTCTTGATTTTTGATAGTGTGGCAAATTTAAAGCAGTTTTTTTTTTATGTCAGCAGCTGTAAGAATTTTATTTGCTCATGGCATAATGTATTTGAATAAAATGATCAAAATGCATTTTGATTCTGTTTATTTTTTAACTTATTGCATATAGTGTGATAACTGATTACAGTTTAGTCAAAATATTGTTTTAAATAACAATTTCTTAAAAACCAAGTTTTTTTGGGGGGGGGTTAGCCCAAAGGGCATTAGCTCAGAGGGGCTTATGTATCTTTCTAGCATTGTGATAAAACAACAGTACCTAGAACCATCAAATTTTGAATATTGTACGTCTCCACCCGAATATGAGCATCTGGAAGCCAAAATTTGGAATTTGTTTCATTATCTATTTCATATTTTGTAACATTTTAACGAATTTTTTATTAAGAAACCACGATTTCAAAGCGAAGAATGGTAACAATGTATGGTAAAGACATTTTAATCTCAAGTGCGAGACTGTGTATCGGAAATTCTAAAGATATGCTCATTTTAAAATTATTTTGCGATATTGCTGCTGAATTGAATTTTATGGTGGAAGTGCGAAGAACATATTTAATAAATAAGGGTAACACAAGAACATTAAAAATATATATATATAATATATAACAACCTGAACCTGAAGGGTTTTAGATTTTAAATTACGTCCAAAGGGGACTTTTTTTTAACATTTTATCCATTACCTTTATTTATTAAATATCATGTTCTTCGCATTTAACCCTTTGATGCGTGGTGGTTGCACCTTGAAACCACCAATTTTCAAATTTTTTTCCTCCTCTTCTTTCCGAAATTTGTTAGTGAAAATCAATTGGTTACTGATCTTTTACCTCTAAATAACACAAAATGAGTGCAGAATCATACATGTTTTAGGTCTTAGTACTTCAAATCGGATATTTTTAAAATTCATTTTCAATGAGACAAAATAACTTCCTTTTATTAATGTAAACAACTTTGAATTTCAAAAGTTATTCATTGCACATCATGATTTCTATTATAAACAATAAAAAATAGCAGTAATTAAACTGCATATATAAAAAAAACGTATGGCATTTGCTTTGTGGTTTCAGGGTGCGACCACTGCATCACTAGAGCATTGTGTTACGATGCTCTAGAGGCTCGGTGGTCGCGCCTTGAAACCACTGCTCTTCACAATGTCGTTTGCTGCCTTCTCAAATAGGAATGTTACCCAGAAATATAGATAACCCAGTTTTTTACCCAGATATAGATAAGGGACTTTGAAACCACAGAGTTATTTTATTACTAAACAATACATGCACCTGGCCAGTAAAAAGATCTTTCTTTTCCAGAGACTTTTCTCTGACCTCAACATACCTTCCCAAGCTAGTATTGTGATTTTATAAATTATTTCCTGTGGTTTAAATTTAATGTAAATATACTTTGCTATAATTAAAAATAGAAATTGTGTAAAGTTTTATTTAAATTAAAATAAAAATATTTTCTGAATATTTCGGGACGAAATACGAATGAAATAAGTATTAATGGGAAACGAATGATCTATACCAAACCAGGAAAGACCAAGCCTTATTAACATAAAAAACCACAAATTTCATGTCTGAGATGAAAAGAAACTAAATAATGCTGGACATATTCCAGTGAAACTTAGATTCAGGCAGTGTACATTTTGTAGCACGAGGAAGAAACCTCATAGAAGATACATGTGCGAAATATGCAATGTGGATCTATGCATGTATCAAAAAGACAAAGCATGCTTTGATCAATGTCCCCCCCCCCAAAAAAAATCCTTGAAATAAAAAATAATAATAATAACCACACTTTTTTTTAATCCTTATTAACTAAGTTTTTTCATCCATTTAGCTAAACGTCCTTATTATGTAGGTACTTATATTTTCACTGCTATAGAAAAATTACATAAATGTTTATTTTTTAATTTTTTCTGACGATTTACTTTGTAAAATAATGTAAAAAAATTATATATAAGCAATTCTTACATACATTTTTTCAAAATTCTTAAATTTCATATTTATTGGGAATGCGCATGGAGAAAAGTAATTTTTTTCCCTACTACCTCAGTAAGTTTCAAAATCCTAGATGCATGGTGGTTTTGCAGAGTGACCACCACCCACAGAACAATGAGCAAGAGTAGATTTTTTTAAATTCATATATTATTAGTCTCTAGGATCATAATATTTAACTTCTAGAGTTTTTAGTTTAAAAAAATTATAAAAATAATATTGCACGCTTCAAAGGGTTAAACCATAAAATTAAGTTCAAGAGCAATATCGCAAAATAGTTTTAAATTGAGCATATCTTTAGAATTTCCGATATTTAGTCTCACATGCTGGAGATAAAAATGTTTTTTCTGTACAGCATTGCCATTACTCGCTTTGAAATCCTTGAGTTTCTTAATCAAAAATTTGTTAAAGTTTTACAAAATATGAAATCGATAATAAAACAAATTCCAAATTTCAAATTTGGGTTTTCACATGCCCATATTCGCAGTAGGATTACGTCATTCAAAATTTGATTTCTCTATGTAGCGTTGATTTATGACAATGCGAGAAATATACATACATTTATGCAGATTTTCCTCTATTTAATTTCTTCAAATATAATGCAGGACTCTAATATTTGGTGGCAACAGTTTGAAAAGTGAAACGGATATTTATAGTGAACCAACGCAAAATTTCAAAACAAAAAGAGTAGTCCTTCAGGGACAAAGCTCTTTTGGACTAACAATGCCCCTTTGGGCATAATGTAAAATCTGAAAGCTTTCAGATTTTTTTTTTTTTTTGGCACATTTTATTTATTGATTTATTTATATTGCTGAAGTTCTGAACATGTAAATTTTAGAGGAAGCAAACTCTTAGCTGTAAAAATGAATTGTTCAGCCAATCAGCTCGATTATGTAGTACATATTTGTGATGAGCTGAGAATGAGAATCGTTTACTGAATAGTAGAATTTTAGAATTCAGCATTAGGAATGTTGCTGCTTGATGTATAGTTTAAAAATCCTGTATTTGCAAATATTGCATTAATATATATTAATTCTTCCAGTTTGATGGGTGTTTCCTTTTTTTATTGATTTAATGTGATCATTTCCTTATTTTCATTCATAAGGAAATTACCATTGATCCTATTATGCAAATGTTGATTAAACTTTAAAGTTTTTTTTTAACGTGGATTTTGGATTTTTTTATTTAGTAAAGCACAGCCATGCTGTTAAGTATTCTGTCTTTTATGATAATATTTTTATCAAAATTTTATTTAAAACAAGCCAGATTCTGTGTATATCTGTTTTAATAATTTTGTTCACAGACTTTCTATTCCCTTTGTTACTTGTAATTTATTAATCTCTGCTAGTACAGTCAAAAGTCGTTAATTCAGACACCCATAATCCGGACCTCAAAGCTAAAAACTTTCTGCGCATGTGCCACGTTGGCACATGCGCACAGGCGTTTTACGCGTGCGCGTAAGACCTTGACTACTGCGCATATGCGTGTGCGCAAGTGCAGAATACGTTTTCGCCTGCGCGTTTAATGTATACCGGACGGTTTGTAAGCTAAAATTATCTAATTATCTATTTCAGTTAATGTTAATGATTGCGTTGTTCCTTAATCTTCGAATTGGATCCCGCTTATTATTTTTTGCAGACTGTAAGAGCAATTTTATAAAAGTAAACTTGAACTTTCGATAATGTCAAATAGAATTTCCGATGCTGGAACTTCCAAAGGATCTACAAAACGAAAGTATGTTTCGATGTCCAACAAACAAAAAGTGGAATTGCTGCAAAAAATACCGATTACCGACAGTGAAGAAAGTGACAGAGAGGTTAGTGAAAAACGAAAATATTTCGATTGACAAGTTAGGTCGGTATTCTCTCGATGCAGTAACTTACAGGGACTTGAACAGCGGGACTTTATATAACTGAACAAGAAGTTATGTCTGTTTTACAGAATTGAAAGAGAAAGTATTAAGCACATAAAAATGAAGCAATTTAAACAACTTACATATATTCAAAGAAATGTTTAATAAAGTTAAACAGAATAAATATTAAGCTTTTTTTTTTTTTTTTTTTTTTTGTTTTGTAAATTTGGATACCCTTTACATCATTATAGATTGCTTCTATTATTTCATAAATTACGGTTTCATATTTTTAATTTTAGAATTTCTGCATGCCATCTTACGAGATTTAAACTGATGATCTATAATCCGGAATTGCCGAAGTCCCGACGAGTCCGGATTAACAACTTTTGACTGTATCTAATGAACAAAGCTTGTAGAAAGAAAATGTAATCTGTAATGTGCGCTATCAGCTATCAAAATGAAGTAGAATCTGAATAAATTGAACGTGCCATAACAATTTTAGAATTCTACATATATATTCTTCTTTTAAATAAAATAATAATAAACATTTAAATTTGTGAATTTTGATTATATTTCCTTGTTCAAAACTAATTGTGTGTGATAAATATCTTCCAAGCACTTTCATAAGTTTTTGAAACACTATTTGAAATATTTTGTTCAACTAAATTGAGAGTAATTGATAAAACTAATTACTCTATGTATTCATTGTTGGGTTTTAAGCCATGTGGATAAATGCTAGGCTTGGTATTTCATCATCATTGCTTTGATTATTTATGCATTTTTGTTATTTGTACTTTCAAATTTTTCTCTAAAATTATATTTAAAAATTAATGTGCAATTGTTACTTCATGACCATAAAGTTAAGTGTTTAAGGGTTGCTAAATTTTCATGAAATGTATTATACAGTCAGAAGTCGTTAATTCGGACACCCATAATCCGGACCTCAAAGCTACAAACTTTCTGCGCATGCGTCTCTTTGACGCATGTGTGTAAGACCTTTACGGCTGCGAATATGCATGTGCGTGTGCGCAAAATACGTTTACGAATGTGCGTTTAATGTATAACGGACGGTATAAGCTAAGCTAAAATTATCTAATTCAGTTAATGTTGCAGATTGGGTTGTTCCTTAATCTTCGAATTGGATTCGGCTTATTATTTTTTGCAGAGTGCTTGAGCAATTTTAGAAAAGTAAGCTTGAACTTTCGATTATGTCAAATAGAATTTCTGATATATATTTACTAATACGTAAAGGATCTACAAAGCGAAAGTATGTTTCGAAGTCCATTAAACAAAAAGTGGAATTGCTGCAAAAAATGGATAAATTCATATCCTTTGTTTATCTAAACTTTAACATTTGTTTATCTGAACTTTGTTTATCTTTAACGCGGCGGTGGGTGCACAATGAATTGGAAGTTGATCTGTCAGCACTATCCTTATCTTCAGGGCAGATATTTTTATTTTATTTGGCTTATAATTCCTTACTAAATGTAGTATTTCATCTCGATGTACTCCATCTTTGATATGATTTAAATCAAATTCCTCGTCATTATAATTCACTTCCGATAGCGAAGAAAGTGACAGAGGTTATTGAAAACGAAAAAATTTCGATTGACAAATTAGTTGGTATTGTCTACACAGCAATTATAGGACTTGAGCAGCGGAACTTTGTAACTGAACAAGAAATTATGTCTTTTTATAGAATTAAAGGGAATGTATTGTCACATAAAAAACGAAACAACTTACATTGAAAGAAATATTTAATAAATAAAACAAAATAAATATTAAGCTTTTTTTTTTTTTTTTTTTTTTTTTTTGTAAATTTTTATACCCTTTAATCATAATTGTTTATTTCATAAATTATGGTTTCATACTTTTAATTTTATAATTTCTGCATGCCATCTTACCAGATTTAAACTGATGATCTATAATCCGGAAAAATCGATAATCTGGAATCGCTGAAGTCCCGACGAGTCCGGATTAACGACTTTTGACTGTACAACTCCTTTTTATTTACAAAACTGAACTCAGCAATACGTTTCTCCATGTGATATGGGATCCTAATTATGTACAAGTTTTTATTGCAGTCTGTATTTCTTAATAATTTATAAAACATCAGGAATTTCTACTGACTGTAATATATTTGCTGTGTTATATAAGCAATTTGTCTAACGTTTCAGCCTTTTGATATGACAGGCATGAGAAAGTTGATATCTCAGCTCATCATATTGGTGAGAGCAAGCGTTAATGGGAAAAAATAGTCCTTGTTAGTATTTACTTTTTAAAGATGTATGAAATAAATAGTGAATGTCATTCAGATACACTTTTTGTCAAGTGGATTTTACTTTAACAGTATTACAAATAAAATCTGTCGTGAGAAATTGTATTTTGATCATATTCAGTGAGTTATTAATATTTTGATAATGAATGATATTTCAATATCTAGCTTTCAAAAATTTTATATTTCTATATTTAACATCTGGAAACAATTCCCTTGAGATTGAATTTAATCATTTGAATTTTTGTAGATAATAATTGTTTGAGCTCTACGTAATTAATTTTTTATTTATTCTTTCTATTTCATTATTTTACAAAGTAATAGTGCATTTATTTCAACTTTTCAACAATTGATGTTTTTATTCCTCAGGTCAAAAGCAATTTGATGACCATGCGATCCAAAACAGCAAGCACAGACCAACTAAGAAGTCGAGACACTCATTAATGAACATTTTTCCAGCATAGTTATTTTTTAGAATTTAGACTTTTTTGATCTCTGCACCCTAGGATATCGCTAGCAGTATTTAACTGAAAGTGTCAGACATTAACAGAACTGGAGTGTAAATATATACAAAGTTAATATTGCCTATTGGGGGTTTAAAAATATGCAGTATACTGTTAAGTCAATGTATATAGATAAAGTTCCTTGTTTTAACTTCATGTTTGCCAATAAAAAGTGCTGTTGCTTTGGATATCGCAGCTTCCTTGGAGTTAAGTATCTGATTTTTGCAATTTAAGGAAATGTGATATTATTTTTTATTATTGTTCTTCTTTGTGCATTTGGTGAAGTAGGGCTTTTTTCTTTTCTTGCATGTGTGATTTAAATTAATGTACATTGTTATACGATTATTGTGTGTTGTTTTACTATTGTAATTTGTAGGAGGTTTGGTCAATATTATATTTTTTATGTACAGAAATCACATTCATAATTATGTAATAGTTTTATTGAAAATCTGTATTTTGTCTGTTTTATTTAAGATTGGAAATTTAATCTCCTGTTTACCCTATAAAGCATGTTTGGTATTAAAGTTGTGTTAATTAATAAACAAAGCTGTGTATAATACATTAAACTCAGAAGAATTGTATGCTGTTCTTCTTTGTATTTAAAAAATTTCAACTTACATTTGTAATTGAAAGGATTGATCATAAATCAGGATTGTAAATTGTTTGTGTTTCCTTTCATATTTTCTCATCTCTTTGTGTGCATGGAAAAAGCATTGTTAAATATTTATTAGCTCATTAATTAATTATAATATAGGCGCACTTGAAGTTGCCTTTCATTTCTTCTAATGTAGCTTTTGGATCATGTGTATTTATAATTTTACAGTGTGTAAGATCTCTCATTCAGTTTTTATAAGCTTTCAAAAAAAAAAAAAAAAAAAAATTAAATTTTTTACTTTTATCACTGTTTCTATTATTTGTTAATGAACTTCTTGTTTTAAGAAATTTGTTTAACTGGGTACTGCTCAGTTAGCAAAAAAAAACATGTATTATGTTCTTTTATAAGGGAGTGATGTTGTAAAAAACATCCCTAATACTCAAGTATTGGGCCTTTCCCATAATGGAAATTTTCAGTTAATTATTCAAAAGAATAAATGAATGTTCTATATTATTTAATTATTTTTTCTTCCTTCTGAATAGTAATAATTTAGTTTTTTTTACTAGCCTAGGCAGAAAATATTTGTGTTCAGATGTGCTTGAACATTTAAATTATTAACATTATTACAAAGACATCTCTCAAAGCATTATGGATTGGTGTGAGTCAAACCATAACTGAGCAAATGAAAAATAAACATTTTGGCTTATTTGCATTCCATATTATGAAGTTTATGTAAATATGTAATTTTTCGAAAAATTCGATGGAGTAAATGGAATATAATACACTTAAAATAAATCAGGCTTATTAAAAAAAATATTGTGTCCTTTTAGTTGGATTGCTGAAAGTTTAGAAGTTATTTATATAACTCACTTATATTTTATGTTTTTTTAATGAAAAAGAAATGTAATAAGGAATTTTAAAGTTTAAAATTGTATAAGATGATGGTTTTATGTTATAAAATTAATGAAGATCATCAAATGAATGTTGAAGGTTGCATGTTTGTATATGCTGTGAAGTTTAAAATTTTCATCTCTTTTTATAGATGGAGCTTTTATAAGGCAGTTTTGTAAAGGCACTATTGTAATGATAATTTTTAGTAGCTAAAAATAATTATTTCCACACTGCTAGTGATATTTTGTAAATGATTTTGATAGCATTTGTGTGCATTTTCTGTAATTTTTAAACACAGAATCAAAGAATGAATTTTGTGAAAAGAAATGTCAGCATTATACTGTATTGCAATGCATGATAGTGACATTAGCATTGGAACAGGACTTCATGACAGATCTAATTGGCAATAGGTACTGAATGTGTAATAAATATATTTCCATATCTTATTTGCTTAAATTCTTGTATTAAAACTATATTTCAAAACATAATCAAAATTTTTCGATATCATAGCATGTTTATCAGCTAAAAATGCCAGTTTTGGAATGGTCAGTGAACAGATATATTTGCCTTCTTTAAGTTTGGTTTGTGAAGTGATTGTAAATTAGACATTATTGTTTTTTGAAATAGTGTGAATTGTTTAACCTAAAGTTACCATCTAATCAAATATGCACTTCCAGTATTCCCAGAAAAACAGTTAAATGCTTTAGAGAGCTATAATATTCAATCAAGTAAGTAAAAAGAAAAGATGTTACACTTAATTTTTGCAAAATGCAAATTTTCTTTAAGTAGGTATTACAATTTTGTGTGATTTCATCCATATTCTTGGAAGTACATTGAAAGATTAAAATATATATATATATACATAGTGTATTTAAAGAAATTGAGAGGTAATTAAAAATAGACAATTACAAATTCTAATAAATATTGTTAGTTGCTATTTTTAATTAGTCCTCTTGAGTAGCACAGTTATTTAAATGTTATGAAGTTTTTGTTTCATTATCTTATTTGTTATATTCCACTCTGCCTTATTATCTTATTCTTATGAATATGAAAATATCATAAAACAAGCTAATCATAGAAAGCAAAGTAATAAAAGCTGTGTAAGTATGACACTAGTAAATAGGTTGTAAGAGAAGTTGTTATTTGGAGAGTTTAGCCTAAACAATACTTTATATTGTTTTTTGTTTATGTTATAATGCAGTCAATATTCCATATACAGGATCTTCACCTTCAAGACATCTTTTATAATATGTCATACTTTGAAGAATAGAGGCAAATACAGTATAAAACTACAGTTTGTAATCATGAGGTATCTTAACTGTATAGTTTTAAAAACATCGGAAGAAAAAAAAAAAAATGCATAGGTAATATATAATCATAGTGTAAGCTGCTGAAAATTATTACTTTTTGCTAAATAATGCAGAAATGTCCCCTCCCGTTATGTTGTTAAATGAAATTAATATGTGAGCCTAATCTCCTGTGGTGTCTATGTACTTTTGTAATATAAAATCACAGCTTTTTACTTGTTTATTTATTGAAATCATGCTCACAGTTCAGGTCCTTTAGCTGGAGGTGCTTTTTTAATTCAGTTATTAATTTTTATACTACAGCCTGTAGATCAGGTTGATTTTGTTTCATTTTAGAGGTGTAATAAAAATAAATCGTGCTATTTATTAAAGCAATTTTATTTCTCCTTCATGTTTTAAAAGGATCTGAACTGAAAAGAAATATCAAAAGATGTTATTCATTCCAGATATTATGAAACAATGGCAATTTTTTTTTCCTTTACTGAGCTTAATTTCTTGGTCTAATAGATGTATTCCATAATGCTCATTAAATTTGCAATCTTAAGTGTTGCCTTCCACACTTGGAAAAATTATTTGCTTAAAAAAAAGAGAGAGGGAGCTTTATAAGAAAATGATAAATTTAAAAAGAAAAAAAAAAGTTCATAAGAAAACCATAAAACTAATCAGCTTTATTCATTAGATATCAGAAATTAGTTTGTAAAGTGCATATATTTATTGCTAAATTTCTTTTAAATTCTCTGTTATTTACAAGAAATTAAGTCCATTTCTGTTTCCAAAATCTAAGCTTTCTTTTACCAGGCTTATATGTACGATATGTATGAAAGATATGCCTGCACAACTTAAATGAAACATATTATACTTTTGTGTGTATTTCCTCTAATAAAAAAACTTACATTTTGTGTGTAAAATTTCTTGTAACACATTTTGATTTCAAGTATAGAGCATATTTATCTATCAGAATATAAATAAATCTAGATATAAAATATTTAAAGAAAGTATATTCATATATTAAATACTGGACTACATTTAACTGAAATAAAATTACTGTGGCAAATTTTTAATAAAAGCTATGACAAATCAACTATATTTTGCCACATTTATAGTCATCTGAGCATTATGCTGCATTTCTTTTAAAACAGTACTGAAGTCCATGAAAAGCTTAGTTGCTTTTAACAACTTGTATCAGATTTCAGTTTTATTTTGCTAGAATTATTATCTAGTCTTTCTAATGTTTAACAAATGAAAAATTTGTGAAATGAATTATAGGTAGAGGAAAATGCTTTTGGGCAGTTAATTTATAAGAAGAAATAATAATAATCTGTTCCTGAAGATATATTAGATGATCCATATTTAGTCATTTCTAAACTGTTATTATCCATTCTTATTACTGCTACTGTACTAAATTGGAAAAAAAAAAAAAAAATTTGAGAAACAACATTTTTAAATTAAATTATAGTTTACATCAGACTAAAAATTTGTAAGAAATTAATTGAAATTAACAATTTACTTCAGTATATAGATATGCAATAACAACAAATTTCTTATACACAGATTGGGCTTTCAAATTCATTTTAAGTTATATAATTGTAAACTTATGTCTAGGATCAATGTTTAAGTAAGTAAAATGTTTAGCCAACTGTTATGAGTAATTTGTTTTTTTTTTGGGGGGGGGGGGGGGATCATCTTTTTCTTAAAAACTTTTTTTAACAGATTTACCAATTAATTGCTTTTTCATGGCAGCAATGTTATGAGGAAAGTACACTATTTTGAAATTCAGTAGGTCATGATTTCTTCACTAGTTTGCATCTTAACATTGGCCATTTGTAAATTAGCATTCTGTTCACATCATTAATACACATACTAAAACATGTAAAAGTAATTCAGAATATTTTATATTGCTGAATTCTGTGAAAATATTTTACACTGTACAATAAATAGTACAGAAATAGAAATCTTGATGATGATCCAGTCAAATGAGTGTTAGCAATTTGGGTACAACTTTGTTGTAGCGGCCCCTAACCATATTTAACAATTTTAGATTTCTGCCAAAATCTCAGCTATAATTTCACCAAGCTTGTGAAGCATGACTTTAAAAATGAACAATAATACTCATGTGTCATTTCTTAAGAATATTACTCCAAATATCCACTGTTCTGAAAGTACTCTGCCTTTGTTTTATTAAGTCGGATGAACAAACTATTTTATTGGGACCACCTATTCAGTCATTCAAACTTTGCATCATATGTAGGGAATCGCTGAACCAATTTCCAACATGGAGGCCCTTCTTTTTGTAATTTTTAACATTGCATCTCCAAATGGTTTCCTCATTAAAATTAAGTTTTTATTAAGGCTATTTTTGCATACTTGTTTGTCAGTCAAAATGCATCTTTCTTGATAAAATTATATGGCATCAACCTCATAATGTGGTAAATTAAAGATAATGAACTTCATATTCACACAGAAAAGAATGGAATGAATATATTTTTAAATAAACGATACAAATTCTAAAATGTCATAAAAAATTAATAATAGGTGCTATTATACGATTATGTGAACATGCAGCCAGTGCTAATATACTATCGCGTTTGCTTATCCTGATAATACTTGTGTCTAGTGTGGTAAAACTAAATAATTTCATCATCACATTAAGGCAGCTGCATTTGTGACAGTACTACTAGCCTTATACCTTTCTTTTATTTTCTGTTCTATTTTTGGCTTAATTTGTTCATTGTTCTATGCAAAACTAATGTGGGATTAACAATCCAGGTTGGTGTACTTTTGAAGACTCGTAATGCTTAAAAGAAAGTGAACTGTTCAGCAAATTGCAATATATCTTCAAATATAACCATCGAGACCTGAGTGGTTTTGTTTATCAGGTTAGTTGCATGTGAGAGCAACTAGTTAGTTTTAAAACAAACTTTCAAGGGAAAAAGAAAAAAATCTTGAGTTTATTAACTAACTTTCATAAGATGTTGAAATGTTTTTATGGGCCAATATATATACTTGTATATATATATATATATTATCAGAATTGATTCTTAAAATAAGTACACTGTAAAATACTTATGCTACTAAATGTAATTTTATTTCATTAATATAGCATTTTTTTTTTTTTTTTGAAAGTTATTTAACCTAAAATCACTCAAACTTACTGGTAAACTAGTATAAACAGAAATATAGTAATAGAGTTTATTATTTTGCAAATAAAAAAACATTTTAAACTCAAAACTAAATTAAAATTTTTCCATTTCTTTGTTCTGCCTGTTTATGAAGAATATCACACTTTGAGACTTTTAAAAGCTATTGTTTGAAGCTTTTATTGCATTGCACAAAATGTTAAATACGCTCTAAAACAAGCATACACATTCCTAATATCGTCATAAGAGATTAATTAAAATTAAGAGTTAAATTAAGTCAAATAAAATCATTCCAAAAGAATTTGAAAACCACTATACAAAGCCTCAACGAAGAATTCCCACACAACAACTATAATAGCTGCGCTTTCTATTTAGGATATGTGAAGGATCACTGTATCATGGGATATAAAGAAACCAAATGCTTTCTGATTCTTTTAAGTACTGAAATACCCCCCCCCAATGGCAGATTTTGAACAGTTACAATGTAACCTAGTCCATTAATCTATACAAGGCCAGATGTGGTGTGTTTATTGTAGAGGCAACTAATAGATGGGCCACCATCGCCTCCTATGAAGGGATGGACAGTTACAACCATGCCTTCTCCAGGATTCGAACCCAGACACTTCGGTAACACAGTCAGGCTTCCCTAACCACTATACTGTTTGAGCGGCAGTACTGAAATATTGTTATAGCAAAAATATTTACCAAATTTCATTTGTCAATTAAAGATTGAATGCTAAGGATATTGTCCAGCTGTGTTATATTTAGTTCCATTCATGTAACCGTGACTCGTAATTATGATAATTTTTCACGTTTAAATTTTAACATTCGGTTTGGGGTCATTTTGTAAAACAGCCCAATTTTATGGGCATTGAAAACATGAATTTCATTTGTTATAACAAAAGATATTCGGTAGCACACTTTTTTTTTTTTTTTTCACATCTCATCATCAGAAATTTAAATTCTTGATTCTGGGACAACTTTATCCCATTTCTTAAACCTATTCAATCAACTATTTGAGCACAAAATTCTCCTAACTCTCTGGCAAATTCATCCCATGTATAAAGCAAACAGAAAATAGTTTCCTTCAGAAAATCCCTCGTGAAGATTTCCATTCCCTTAAGCAAATAACCTATGGTGCTTTGCCATGAATGACGAAATAAAAAAGTAAACTTTGACAAATTCATCGGCTTTTGTTGGCTTGGCCCAAATGCTGGTAGATTACTTCTTATGTGAATAGTGACACATTTCAGCAGTTCTTTAATATCTTTATGCTTGGCCTTTTGTTTTTCCAAAAGGCAATCCAGCTAATGACGTCGCGGAGCAGAAGCTGCTCAGAGAATACATGGCTGTTCTGGCAACAGAAGATAGTATCTCTTTCAACTTTCAAAAGAAATTCATATTTTGCATAATCGTCCATGGAAGAACATCTTGGGCCCTTGATCTTTTGGATTACCGAGTCCTAAAGACTGCATACAAAGCACGCCTTTCTTTCTTTTATCAGTATTTCAGTCATTCCTCAGATCAACCTTTGTAGAAAAATCTTTCAAAACAGGCTGATATTCTTTATTAAAAAGAACAAGGATCCACAAGATCCTCATACTTTAAGATCAATGTACTTACTTTCTGCACTGGGAAAAATCTATCAATGGGTTTAACTTTCACCTTTACTGGAATTATAATATTAGCTCGAGACAATACATGCCTTAGAAGATAACAATTTCAAGAAAATGAAAATGCAAATCTCCATGTGGCGTTCATCTCCGTGTACGTCTTTGACAGCCTTTAGTGGCCAGCTATAAAGAGGGCACTCTAACCAGGTCAGTGCGAGCAAATCTGTTCGAAATTTTCATAGTTATCTGACAAACAGAATTTTTTTGGGTACTTTTCCGTTTCGCCGGCGCAAATGTCTCCAAGCAGATTGGCGACAACACAGAGCATACACATATAACATGTTAACAAATGTTAGTTCTAAGAATCTTTTATTTTGAGGGCATAAACATTTCAATATCGTTTAAATTTTATAAAAAGCCAATAAATTTGTAAAAAGTCATTAATTTAAGAATTTAATATGCTTTCATGGTACAACATCCTGATTCACGTGACCCCAAGTGATCTCATCTCACGTAAACTATGCTACAAAATTCAAATTCTCTCAGTGATTATCTACATTTATTTATGTTAAATCTTAGTTTGGAATACAAGTTTAAATGCAAGAATTATTTCAATTCGTACGAATAGCTTACTCAGAAATTATATAAAACCGCAGAGCTTTACTTCGCTAGTGCATTCTTATTAGATTTGATGAATTTAACCCTCGACTTTGTTTTTTCTATATTTTTGCCTTCAGGTGAGTGGTGTGATTGCACCCTAATCGACTTAATTAACTCGAATGGCCTTAGGCCATAAAATTGAACTCTCGAATAAAAATTCTATGTAATTGTATGCTAGTAGTGAAAGAAAAATCAATTTTGTAAGAAATGGCTGCGACTTGTTTTGAAATGAGGCGTAAAAGGTTATCAGCGAGGATATTCCGTTTGGCATCAGTTGTACCATTATTGGCGACTTTATCGCCTGCGCCGGCAAAACGGAAAATACCTTTTTTTTAATAGTGCACTGTAATGGTATAATCTCCAAAACGCTGGAAAAAGTATTTGCAGGGATTCCGTGCTGGCCCTCTCCTAAGGAATTTAACATTAACTCCATCCTCAAAGCAAACTGACCAGATAATATCAGTATATTTGCATATGCTGAAGACACTTGCATTTTTA